CACCTGTGTATGCCCCTAAATTATGTTGTGCTAGGAGGCGTCTTTCACCTTTTTATATAGTATTTTACCACTGGTGTAGAATAACAGCCAGAGAGCTCTTGGGCATGGCTCTTTTCTTTCAGCAACTTCTTGGATGTGGAACAATGTACAAGCAAGTTCTACCTGTCATTAAGCACCTAGCAAAGACAGAGCAGTCTTGTGTTGAAGGTGGTTCTCTGATGGTTGGGAGCCAGGATGCATCTGAGTACAATATCATACTTGAGCAGTAACCAGGAAAACAGATGTACTTGAAAGTTCCCTGATTGCTGTAACACCACCCCCACCCCTCCAAAAAAGAGAGAGATGGGAACAAGGAAATTACCTCCATCCCTTCCACACTGGTGTAATTTGTGACTCAACAGTGTAATGTAGCAGCTAAAAAAAATCCAATGTGAGTCTAGTTCTCCAAGTGAGGTCTAACCAAAATGTAATAGAGTGTTACTCCATCTCCCCTCTGTACTCCTAAGCATTTCAACACTGTTTGAACCATTTGTGGTGTGTGGCTGGAAGAAGACATAGTAGAGGGATAAGGTGTTTGGAAAGGAGTACCAATTGGCGCAGTGGTTCTAAACCTTCCTTAATACAGTTCCTCATGTTGTGGTGACCCCCGACCATAAAATTGTTTTTGTTGCTACTTCATAACTGTAATTTTGCTACTGTTATGAATAGTATTGTAAATATGCAGGATGTATCTTCATTCACTGGACCAAATTTGGCACAAATACCGAAGCTGTCCAAATTTGAATACTGATGGGGTCAGGGGGGGGATTGATTTTGTCATTTGGGAGTTGTAGTTGCTGGAATGTACTGTTCACCTACAATCAAAGAGCATTCCAAACTCCACCAATGATGGAATTGAACCAGACTTGGCAAACAGAACTCCCATGACCAACAGAAAATACTGGAAGGGTTTGGTGGGTATTTACCTTGAGTTTTGGAGTTGTAGTTTACCTACATCCAGAAAGCGCTGTGGACTCAAACAATAATGGATCTGGACCAAACTTGGCACAAATACTCAACATGCCCAAATGCGAACACTGGTTGAGTTTGGAGAAAATAGACCTTGACATTTGGGAGTTGTAGTTGTGGGATTTATAGTTCACCTATAAATCACACAGAACCCACATGACCAACAGAAAATACTGTGTTTTCTGATTGTCTTTGGCAACCCCTCTGACCCCCCCCCCCAGGGATCCCAACCCCCAATTTGAGAAATGCTGTATTATTAGCTGGTAATGATTACATTATCTCTTCAGATCCCTGCTTGATTCTCTGTCCCAAATTCTTGTTTCTCAAAATTATTTTCTTTAAAAAAATCAAATGTATTTTTGAGCACTTAGCCATTGAAAGACCTATAGGGTTTCAGGAGCTGCTTGTTTCTCTTCAGAATGGGAACAGTGGCTAGAAATCAGTTGTGCACACATAGACCCCAATTCCCAGGGTTATTCATGGTGAACCAATGCTTTTTTGCTTTCTGGATATCTTTAGTAACAGTATTATTTTGCTTCAAAAGTTTCCTTATTATGGGGCAGATATTTTTTGTTATGCATTGATGTGCTGGTTCACTGCCTAAATCGCAAGAGCTTCAGGGGTGTGAGATGTATCCAGGATTTTTAAGTGAGGGCGCTGGAGGTTTTTGCAATACTTTTGCATATTTACAAATGGAGACTGGGCACAAAGTAGCAATTTGTGTAATTGAGACCAAAACAGTTACTGCTTCCGCATTAGACTTCCATGATAACTATTGGTGTCATTAAGTTTTTGAAGCGAGTGACCTAGTTTTCTGTGGGCATCCCTCCATTCTACACTAAAAAACTTCTTATCTACACACCAAGCTGTGGGAAATAAGGATGGATCATCTTAATCACTGATGCTTTCTTGAACCACCTTGGTTCCCATACAAATGTACCACTTATTATGAGCTACCAGCAGTCCATTGTCAGAAAACCTGCCAAATCAGGACTATGTCAGGTTTTGAGATTTTAGGACCCAAAGACAACCTAGAGAAAACTCTTTGTTATGTCATACAAACTGGTCCAATTAACTAAGAATACGCTATGTTATTAATCAAAAACCACCAGGTCTAACAAACAAGGAACACATACATGCACACGTAGGGGTTTTTTTTTTTCTTGCCTTGCCTTTCCCTTAATATCAGGTTTTCCCCTGATATTAAGTCCAGTCATGTCTGACTCTGGGGGTTGGTGTTCATCTCCATTTCGAAGAGCCAGCGTTGTCCATAGACACCTCCAAGGTCACGTGGCCGGCATGACTGCAAGGAGTGCCGTTACCTTCCTGCTGGAGTGGTATCTATTGATCTACTCACATTTGCATGTTTTCTAACTGCTAGGTTGGCAAAAGCTGGGGCTGACAGCAGTCACAAGTTCAGCAGCTCAGTGGTTTAACCCACTGCACCACCGGGGGCTCCCTTACTTTAAGAACCAGGAAAGAGGGTATAAGTCTCAAGGCTCAGAGCCATGCTTTGAGATCTGGCAACCATATTTGATATGTATATGTGTTAAGACGCATTGTTTTGGGACAGCTTGAAATAGATTGGGTTTTTCATAATAAAAAGAAATAAGAAATCAGATGCAGAAGTGTCAGGTGTAGAAAGTGCTTTGGTTTCAGATGGCAGCTAATGGCCAATGCTCCTGGTGAGGAAATTCAGTAGGGTACCACCCTTGAACCGGAGTTAGGACACTGATATAACACCCCTATAATTTGTGGAATGGTGTCGTGTTAAGGAACGGTGGTGGAGGAGTCAACATCTATTAAGCAAGAAACCTGAACAATCAGGGACCTAGTGTCTCAAGGTCATCATGGCTATAAATCCCACAGCAGCAGCTGGAAGTTTTGGTTGTTTTCAGCTGTTCATTCCTCCTGGCTTTTATTCACTTCCTACTTATAGATGTGTTTGGATGCTTAACCTCTGAACTGTATTACAGTGTACATTTTTTGCCTTTTCCTTGTGGCCTTGGTTGTCATGACTGCAGGATTGTGAAGTGGCTGAGATCTCACTACTGAACTCCTTCATCTATCTTGGCAAACTCCCTTAACTACCTGTGCATGACCTAGACTATCTTGGTTCACCCATAACTGCTTCTCCTGACAGCTGCTGCTTGTAGATATAAGACAGATTTAAGAATTGCAATATATGACAACTTTAGCCAGGTCTGGCTTTTCAAGGTACGGGTGTAGCTGGCACACAAGTTTTAATGGTGCGGAAGCACCCCTGCCACTGCAGAAACCAGGGGTTCCAGGCTCAGTGATGCATCCAGGAAGATTCCCAAGCTGTGAACCTGTAATTTCAGGGGGGGAGTGTAACTCCATCCAGCACAGGCTGCAACCCTATACCCTGTTTGGCCTTTTGACTGACCAGGAGACCCTCTGTCTTGTCTGGATTCAATTTCAATTTGTTCACCCTCATCCAGACCATCACAGCTGCCAGGCCACCGGTTCAGGACCTGGACAGCTTTTTTAGCAATAGATGGAAAAGAGTGATAGAGTTGGATCTGCGTACAGATGCCATCAATCTCCAAAACTCCAGATGATCTCTCTCAGTGGCTTTATGCAGCTGTTAAACAACTTGGGTGACAATATCGAGCCCTTCGGGATCCCACAAACAAAGGGTTGTGGGCCTAGCAGGTGTCCCCCAGCAACACTTTCTGGAAGCAATCCTTCAGGAAGGACCGGAGCCACTGTAGGACAATACCTCCAAATCCCATTTCTGTGAGGTGCTCCAGAAGGATTCTGGTCTACGATATTGAAGGCCACTGAGAGGCCCAAGAGAACACACTCCCCCTGTCAAATTTCCTGTGTAGATCATCCTGTAAGAAGACCAAGGTTGTCTCTGTTCCAAGACTAGATCTGATGCCAGACAGTGACAGAACTAGATAATCTGTTTCTTCCAAGAACACTTGAAGTTGCAAGGTGACCACATGTTCCAAGACTTTGCCCAAAAAGGGGAGATTGGAAACTGGTTGGAAGTTGTTCAATTGAGTAGGGTCCAGTGATTTTTTTTAACAGCGGTTTTATCACAGCCTCCTTTAGGCTTGATGGAATCTTGCCTTCTTGCAAGGAGGCATTAACCACCACCTTCACCCAGTCTGCAAGCTTCCCACTAGAAAGTCTTCAGAAACTTTTTACTGTTGCCAATTTTTTCGCAATCCGATTTGGGGCTGGGAATCATACTTGAAAACGCAGTGATCTAGGCAAGTGTTACTGAAGGTGGTGGCCCATAAACTGGTGTCATTTCATGAGCCATTGACAGTCAGTCCATGGTAAGTTATCACCAATCATCATACATGCAGTTCTGTTGGCGCAGGAGGCAAAGTCCCTGCTGATATCCCACAAAAGATAGTTTAACAAGTACTGGTCTAGATCAGCTCTCCCCTATTTAGGGTTTACAGAGCTGGATACCCATTTTTGTGGTTTGAACTTATAGAACCCAAACCAGTGCATTCATTTAAGAAGTAATGTTCAGAAGAAGTTCTTGATGGCGTGGGTTTTTCAGTAGGAAAACAGATTTAGAGCTCATCAGGGATGTTGTGGCAGTGGGTTTCCAGATTGGACAGGGGCTTAAACTATATGCTCTTTGAATTTCTTCCTGATTTTATCATTGTAAGATATTGTAGGTTGCCTTTTTTGCTTTTTGAGTGTGCTTTGAGATTTAAAAGCGATGGATAAAAATTACTGAGGCTTATACAGTAATGAAAAGCTCAGTGTGCTGCAAGAGCCACATGTGGCTCATGGAACAGATGGCATAATGAGTACATTTGTGGAAGGGAATGTCTTCTGGAAAAGGGGGAAGCCTTTGATGCATTTTTCAAAGTGGGAGGAGAATGTTTAAATAGCCCAATTCCTGTGAGCCAAATAGTCAAATGTCTTTTTCCTAACCTGCTGCAGAGGCTCTTGTGAAACGATGTTCTCACATGTGACTGTTGTTTTTCTTTCTCCTTTAGGAAAGCTTCACAAGGATGCAGCGCTGATCCAAAGGCAGCTGTTGAGCTCGAGCAGCTCTGTTGCTCCCATTCAGATCTCACTGAAACCACCGAGTTCAACGCAACAATGCCTTTGGGGCACTTCACCAAAGGAGCGAGTATAGATGAGCTTATTGATACTTGTATCCATTCTTTCGGTGAGTTGGGCGTTTGCAGCTGTTTTGACTCTATTTTGGTGTAGTATTCTGAATGCTTTATTTTATAATGTTTGAGATACAGAAAGGTGTGACTGACATCTTTTTGTTGCTCTTTCACTTGTTCAGTGAATACATCACTGTGAGAGTATAGATGAGACATTTAACTGTATAATTGCCATCCTTGAAGACATTAATAAGTGTACCAGAGTTACCACCTTGATGATCATGTTTTCTCCATATTCCCAGTTTTCAGTAAATATAAGGCGCATGGATAATTTCTGTATTAAGAAATGCATATATCAAACTGAAATGTTCATATTTGAGTATTGTTTTGTCTGTGCCTTAGCACAGTTAAAAAAACTGTGGCAGCACAATAATTCTTCCTTCTCTAGCAGCAAGAGATATTTCTTTTGCCTTCTTGTAAAAAGGAATGAAATTCAGTTTTTAAAAAGCTCAGTGATAGTATCTTTAGCTATCAGATTATTGTTTTATGCTTCTCAGCTGACAGAATACTTTTGGACAGACTTATAATTTCATGTAGCCCAGTTCTTTGTATATTTTCTTAAGAGTAACTCCTACTTAGTTTAATGGGACTTAGTTGCAAATAAATCTGCATCAGATTGTCATTCTGAATGTTTTAATTTTTTTTCCTGTTACTGCCTTTCATATTTTTTGTGTAAATTATTTTGAATGTATTAAATAATCTAATGGAAAAGGCAAGAGTATTAAAATTATTCAAGGATAAATGCTGGAATTCTAATAAGGATTTTTGTGTATTTCCTACGATATTGTTTGCATTTATGCTTCTTTTGTTTTGGTTTGTCTTTTGATGGATGAATGCTTAGAATTAACAGTTTGATCCTTTTTTTTGTATTGTTGATACTGTTACAATTTCTGATCACTCATTTTAAACATGCAGATGAAAGCATAGTTTGTTTTAATGCCATGTATTTAACCTCCTTTTATGTAGAAGAGAAGAATCATCCTCCTTACCAATATGGATGATTGAACATCCATGTGCATTGTTATTCATATGCATGTGGCATAATGCAATCTGATAACTTTATTTACAGTGGATAAGTTAGAGTAGTACAATAGGCTTAGTATTCAGGACCCAGCATTCCTGATTCATGCAGCAAGCAATGACAAATACCTTCAAACATTTCTAATGAAACAACATGCATGAACCTGAGGACATGGTGGGAGACAATTTAAATAAATAAACTGATGGTCAAGAACTCTCAGTAATGCATATTTTGTTTTTTTGGGTTTTTTTAACATACTGTTTAATGCAACTGCTTCATCCACAAGGGCAATGAAAAGCAAAGACCTGGTTATTTATTTATACATCGATTGATTGCATACTGCCTTCCCATTTAAAAATGCATTGCTTTAAATGCAAAGCAATGTTTTCAGAATGAAACTGATCAATAAAGCAATGAGAATCACAACTAAAAACAATGTAAATAATATTATATCTTTTTAAAATTAAAGTGAACTGAAATGAAAGAAATTGTTGGAACCAAATAATTTTTCTGTTAACATTATTTATAGGGAATGAGTAAGTATACTTAGGGCTGCATCCTGTGGTTATGTTTCTATGAACATTTGCCTAGCATTGAGCCCTGCTGATGAGTAAATATGAATATAATTGGCTATAGGCCACACAGCTGACTTGGTTATGTTCTGATACACTCTGAAAGGGAGAACAATCACTGAGGATTACAGATTGTCGGTAGTAAAGCTATTAAAACAGGCAATAAAGGTATTAAGGCAGTTTGTTGTAATACTTTATTTCCATTTATTTTTGTTGTCAGATTTTATTAGCATCCTTATGCAATCACAGCCATAGGAGGCACGAACAGAATTTGGATATGTGGGTACACTACAGACAACTCCTAATTGTAAACTGAAACAACACTGTTGTCATTGTTACATTTCTATCCCATCTTGTTTCTAATCCTAGAATCTAAAAAAGCTGAAATGTAGTGTTACAAAGGAACTGAAATTCAGTAAATCAAAATATTGTTACAGTAAAATATATTATTACAGTAGAGTCGTGTTTATCCAACCTTCGCTCATCCAACGTTTTGTATTATCCAATGCAGTCAACCTCCCATTTGGATCCACAGCTGTTTCAATACATTGTGATGTTTTGGTACTAAATTCGTAAATACAATAATTACTACATACCATTACTGTGTATTGAACTGTTCTTTCTGTTCATTTGTTGTAAAACATGATGTTTTGGTTCTTAATTTGTAAAATCATAACATAATCTGATGTTTAATAGGCTTTTCCTTAATTCCTCCATATTATCTAACATTTTTGCTTATCCAACGTTCTGCCGGCCCGTTTATGTCTACAGTATTCTAAAGCAGCCAAATTAAAAGCCATTTAACCTGTTTTAATTGTTTATATGTTTTCATTTTATTATTGTACAAGACACTGAATGTTTGCCACCTCATTACATTATGTGAAGCCATCCTGAATCCCTTCAGGGAAAGAGGGCAGGTTTAAAATAATAATAATTATTATTATTAATAATAATTTGTAAATTAAGTTAAAATTTCAAACTTTTATACATTTTTAAAAGTGTTTCAAAGAAGAAAAAAAAGCAAACACCAAGTGTTTGCAAAAAGCCCACCTGAATAAAAAGATACTTTCTGGTAGAAGGACAACAGGAAGGAGGCCAGCTAAGGCTGCCTTAGAAAGGAGTTTCACAACCAGACTTGATTATAGTTGTGGTTTGATACTATTTTAAGAATGTGTATTGTATTGAGTACCTTTGGGAATTCCCAGTACTTCTAAAATGGTTATAAATTAAAGCTGGTTGAACCAGATAAGGAGTCTTAAGGAAGTTTCTTAGTTATTTTTGGAAGGTATAAACATTGCAGTGGAGATTAGCAGAAGGAAGACAATTGGAAGCATTCATCTATATTGCTTCAAATGCCAGGAGCTCTCTGTGTTAGGTTAACTGTCATTGATGTTGGCAGGTTACTTGCAATTCTTACGTTTACACAGGTTTTGATTTCAGTTTTCATGAACAACACACCGTTGACCCTTCATATTTGTGGGTATAACTTTTGCAAATTTGATTATTTGTGGATTTGATTAATATGTTTGCTCCAGGTATCTAAGTTCTCCAGGTCAATTCTATGGTCTGCTTTTGGTGGAAGTTCACCATAGAGTCTGCAGGGCCTAGAAGTTCCTAGAGAAATATTCTCACAGGCAAAAAAAACAGTGTTTGTTTTATGGTATATGTGCAGAATAAAACTATTTTTTTTAAGAAGACCTCTTCCCTAACTCCTGTAAAGGTGGAGGTCTTGTTGTATATTTCATTGTATTTATCTTGTCATAGTGAAAATGTTTGAACAATGGAAGGAGGATGATGCAATTAGGAGTTCTGGTTAGAATAAAACCTTACTATTGTTTAAACCAGAATTTGCCACCAGAAAGTGTTGAAGATGTAAGTTCAGTTATTTCTGCAACGTGAGAGGAACTGGTTCATTGGACCCTTTTCCTGACTTACAATGAGATGCAAATCTAATGCACACAATTATATACTTTGGGTAATTCTGTTGTGTATACATTTGGTTTTGGAATTCTAGCCAAAGCTGTGTTTGCTTTGGAAATAAGAAAAGAGTACTGAAGTATATATTGCCTGACTCAGAGTGACTGAATGTACTACATTATAACAAACGTATACGGATTGAATTTGACAACTGCCATTGTGAATGACACATAGTAAAATCACAAGAATCTTGGTTTTCATTGAAAATAGAGAATGCACTTGTCTCTCATAACAATAAAAGCAATGAGTCTTACTACTCCTAACAGAATATGTCCTTGTCCTTCATACCTCCATGGCAGCACCTATTTGCTATTTCTGTTCTAGTGCTTACATAGATAGGGGAACGTTGCTGGGATATTTAGCATCAACCGTATTATTCAGGTAGGATCAAGGACTTGACAAAAGGAAAAATAGCAATTTAAGTATGCTCTTCTGGTGCTAAGGCTAAGCTTGTGTTGCTCTGTCAGGTGGACGAAAAGGCTGGCTATATTTTGTGGGAAGTGGACCTGGCTGGTAGAGTTGCATCTATAGGTCTCATTCACACTACATAGTTGTAGCATTTTGATACCACTTTCAACTGTTTTGACTCCATCCTATGGAATCCTGGAATTTGTAGTTTTGTAGTATTTACAATTCTCTGTGTGAGCTTGGATGCCAGATCAAACTACTGGTATCATTTCCAGCATCCTGTACTCGTGTCAGTTAAACCGATTTCAAACTGTTATTTGTGAAATGTGAAATAAATAATATATATATGTTTGGAGCTTCGTTTCAGATTCTATCTCATGCTACATTTGGATTTCCAAGCTACCAGCAAAACCTTTGAACAAGCAGTAATGCACCTTTACTCCCAACTTTGTATTCAAAAATTATCATGGTAGCAAAGGGTGACAAGGAATTTGATACAGATGACTGAGTAGGTTGGTGGAGGAAGGACATTTTTTTCTTTCCTCCTCCAGCAGTCTGCTTGGTTTTCCACGTTGGCTAATCCTTCAGATACATTCCTCCTTTGCCAGCACATTAAGTGCTTTTCTTGTTAAATTAGTTAGCTTAGCTAGGAGGCTAGTATTTTTGCGTTCTTTGTTGAACATAGAGGAAAGCCCTACCTGTCCTCCAGATACAGCATGAATGTATAGGATTTGAGCCTCTAAGCAGCTTAGTTTGGCATGCTAATAATTTTTGTGGGCTTGTTTTACAAGGTTGTGTTATTCAGAGTTACTCTACCAAAATTTGTATAATGTGTTTTAATGATTTTTATTGTTTTTAATTGTAATCCTTGTTGTATATATGCTGATAGCATCACATGATCTTGAGTGAGGCCGGCCTGAGTCCCCTTTGGGGGAGAAGGGTGGGGCAGAAATGCATGGAATAAATAACTATAAATAATCAACAGTAATTCAGAATTGTAACATAGTCCACGATTTAG